CATTGTGAGCACGTTAGATGCTGAACCTACCCACCCTCTGCCACCCATTCTACTGGATCATCCTGTACCATCAGAAATGCAGTAGTGAGCAACTCCATTACTACTGGAGCATACGCTGCATTGCATCTGATTAGCTTGTTTATCACAACGGAATATGTTGTTTAGACCAATTTGACCTCGGGTACCTTGGTACGTCCCGAGTTGCTGAAGGGCGCCACTACGCTGCTCGTCAGTATTTCCTGGACCAATTTTGGGCTTGAATATTTTAGAAAACACAACTGCGTAACTGTCCCATTCCAGAATTTGATTCATCCTTTGGAGAATGTTATCATTATGCGTGCGGCTTGTACATTTTTCCACACATGGGGAGGCATAAACATAGAAAAGCAGAAAATCATTATCATTACGTGTGTTGAGCAGGTGGTTGAAGTGGTCTACGACGCGTGACTCTGCGTGATCAGCTCCTCCCGTGTCGTGTCTCTGAACTTTGGCTGCAACCACCCGGCTGCCGGTGTACACATCACCGTTGTTCATCGTATTCTTCACATTGTTGGCAGGATCACTTGTGAATACTTGATTAAGGATTTGATTAATGTTCTGGTTCTGGTTCTGGTTCTGGTATTTCGGGATCCTTACAGCCAGACTGAACATACCTTGTACTCCATACCTGCAAAAGGAAAAAAACAGAACATTCACGCATAAAAAATACAATGACCACCACTGAGCTCTCAATGCTTCAACAAAGTATTGGAGCCTAAAGTGCAGTTACATAAACTGACCACTAAGTGGCAGCCTTGCACCATTTACTCTGTGACTAATGCAGCATGCCTCTGTGTTTGTCTCTGCAAAGTTCTTAAGCTTCTTCCCTGTAAAATATCAGTTTTCTTAAACTGTATTTCATAAAACAACAAATAAAGACCTGGATAATTTGCTTAACCTTGTGTGTATTGGGGGAAATCAGTCTGAATTAGGTAATATTTCTGAGTTGTTGACAGCAAGACTGAGCAAAACTCTTGTTGAAGTGCGGATTCTGCTCGTTGTACTCTCAGCCTCGCTTCATTATTGTTCACTCTGATATCTATATCCCCCATCAAATGCAGCCCCTCCTGATCTGCCCATGGTGGTCTTAACACATCATTCGCTAAAAAAAATTATTTTAGTAAATGATTCAGTAGTTGACTCACCCTCTCAAGATGCCGTTTACAATTTGTGGAAGCCTGCCGTTGTAATCATCAGCCAAACTGTTTTTAGGAACAGACAGGAGGAAGGCCAGCATCACAGCCATCCAGCACAGGCCAGCCATCTGAACAGAGTTTATTAGAGTCAGTCATAAATGTCAATAATAATGTTGCAATGTACAATTATAATATATGTAATCCTCCATTTCCTTTGTGCAATGCATTGCGTAACACTAGTGCAGCGTCAACCACAAGCAGTTTTTTTTCTTAGTATGCATACTGACTGTAGAGCTACGGAAGCCCTGAAAGGCAAGATTTGTTTTTTCTAAGTTTGTTTTCTCATCTGTATTAACAACCACTGAGATGCAAGTGTTTTGTTTTTTGTTTTTTTTTTTGAAGGAAGAAAAGAAAAATAGAAAAAGGATTTTTAATTTCTCCATGCATTTTAAATACAAAGTGAATATACAGTGTTTTAGCAAGTTTAGTAACATTACCGTTCCTTCTTTTGACTAGAAATGTATTTTAATCAGCAGAGGCTTTCTGCCAGAAACACATTAGGAAGTCAGGTGAGATAGTATCAATGTTTATTGATTTAGTTAACTACTATTCTTTTTAGTTTTTTCTTTATTTTTATTTTTTGTTTCAAAGCTTTCATCCAGAAAGCCTTGAAGACGCACCTCTCCAGGTCTGGTAAAGAGCGCTCTCGCTCTCTCAGCACAAAAAAAGGAAACTTGACTCGCCTCTCGGGATTGTTTTCACAGATAAAAAAAACTATCCTGGCAAAAAACATATTTTCACTTGCCTTTCAGGGCCTCCGTATAGACCTGAGCATACTTTGAGTTACTTTTCCAGTGTAACCACATTACATCCTCAGAACCTGCTCAGTCTTAAGTAGTAAGAGGTTCATGACGCAGCTTAATTGTGGCTGGCGGTGAAACAGCTCTCTTGATTTCTTGTACACCCTGTACAGAAACATTATACATACATATACATACATGCTATATTCACCCAACCGTCCACCATGATTGAATGTGTACGGTAGATGGCTACTCATTGACTGCCACTGAATATGGCTTCCCAAATCAAATTCAAGTCACTAATGCTGCCTTCAGAATAACTTTTTTGTCTGCACCATCTACTTATACTCAATCATACAGCCTCATGCTCCTTCTCAGCCACTGTGTTCCTCCAAGGAATGTTGTCTAGCATTGCCACCACAGCACGCAATGCAATGTCAGTCCAGACTGTTCTCATCTGTGGTTCAAGTGGTGGAACAAGCCACCGAATGCTATCAGAGTGGGGGCTTCCCTCTCTATCTTCAA